AAATGATTCTCAAAAAAAAAATGATTCTCTGAGGCCTTTTGGAACTCTTGTGTGTGTGCCCCTTCTGTCTGCTCTCTCAGATGACCACTCCACAGATAGACTGCAGGGACTTCAAGTGGTCCTGACCTTCAACTTGAGCAGTCTTTTTCTCAGAAAGCTAAATGAGGACAAACATTTTGCTTTGTTTTCTGTGATTCCCTCCACTGCTTTTTCATTTTAGGCTCATAAAGTTAGATTCTTAAAGCTAGTAAAAATCCTGACCAGCTGTCATTCTGGGTTTACACAAGTTGTGTGTTCTAAGGACCATGCAGTTTTGTAAGTTCCTGTAATCTTTTCATTTTCACCTGCAAATACATAAATGTCTTGGAAAACTTTACAAAATAGGTATCTGTAACCAATTACTTGACATCTTGGAGCTCTGCCAGGTAAAGATTAAGGTTTTTCTACTTTTAAAAATTTCTTACCTACCCAACCTTTGCCCAGTGATTTCAGGATAAACCAAAATAGTAGCAAGGATGGGAAAATCCCACATCCAAGGTTTTCATTATATTCCTTTTCATATAATTTGGAAATTATGTAAACCGTGAACCTCATGTACATTTAGCATGCCCTAATACTGTTAAGAAATAAAGTTATCGTTACTTTGTTGATTACCACATAATTCCACATCAAGTTTTGTGGGAGAGAGAAATCAGTCAGAGAAAGCTTCATAGAGATGGCCCTTGAGCTGATCTGGGAAGAAATGGGTAGGGCTTTAAAATGAAGAATGTTAGTGGGTACAGGCAGGGGCTGGATTTTGTCTCATTCTGGAGAAGGTAGAGGGCAGTTAAGTTATTAGGTGGTGAAGGTCTCTAGAACAGAGCCTTGGAAGCAGACAGAGAAACTTCATTTATGTGAGCTCCAAGGACTTGAAACTGTGGCTTGTTTTCTAAATTGAAATGGGGTTGTCAGTATTGTAGGTGGAAAGCTTTACCGCCTGAGCTACCAGGGGTTGTCAGTATTAAAAACACGTGTCTTATTTTTCTTGCAGGTAAAGTGGAGTAGTGGCTTTGAATATGTTTTCTATGTAGGTAAAAGTGTATTTTGGTACCTAATCCCATTAGCTATATATATTTTGTACAGACCTATGATTTTAAGACATCCTAAAGTAGCATAAGACCTCAAGATAATTACCATATTAAAAAATTAAATAGAAAATTAATGCCACATATCAAGAAAGTAGGAATAAGATGATTTGAATTTGAAAGAAGCTTGGGACTGTAGTCTGGCTATTAGCTTTGCCTGCCTTCTGTCTTCCATCCCATGGCTCAGTTTAAAACATTTCTTCCTTCCATTTCATGTTCAAAACATGTGGGGCTCTGATTTTGCTTACCTGAATTTTCATTAGTGTGAGAAACTGAATATTATTCCCAGTTATCATTGAGAACACCAAAGATATACAAGATGCTAATATAAATAAAAGTCAAGGTGATTTTTGGGTTGTCTTTTGTAATAGATTGTTAGCACTGATGGTGACATCTTGAAATAAGCTAAGTAAGAGTTGTTTGGCTTATATATGTAGTCTTGTAACAGAACTACTTGTTTATAGGCTGGTATGAAGTTTTTCTCCCATGCTTTTAGAGCACATAGTTATTTCAGTTAGAAAAAACATTAAGGGATTCTTTTAACTAGAAAGCTTTACTAATGGGTGAAATTATTTTGAAAGAATCACTCAATTTTGTTACGGGTAAAACTTTAGGAATAGGCTTGGTGGATATCATTTTTGATAGAATGAAAATGTGGATAGAATTGTGTTCTTTACAGATGTGGGGTTAAATGATGGAGTTAAAATGAGAATTACCGAGGGTGTGGAGAAAAGGGAACACTCTTGTACTGTTGGTGGGAATGTAAACTGATACAGCCACTATGGAAGACAGTATGGATATCCTTAAAAAACTAGGAATAAAACCACCATGTGATCCAGAAACTTCACTCCTAGGCATATACCCTGAGGAAACCAAAACTGAAAAAGACACATGTATCCCATTGTTCATTGCAGCACTATTTACAGTAGCTAGAACATGGAAGCAACCTAGAGGTCCATCGACAGATGAATGGATAAAGAAGTTGTGGTATATATACACAATGGAATATTACTTAGCCATAAAGAGGAATGTATTTGAGTCAGTTCTAATGAGGTAGATGAACCTAGAACCTATTATACACAGTGAAGTGAGTCAGAAAAAGAAAGATAAATACCGTAGTCTAACACATATATACGGAATCTAGAAAAATGGTACTGAAGAATTTATTTACAGGGCAACAATGGAGAAACAGACATAGAGAATAGACTTAGGACTTGTGGAGAGGGGAGGAGAGGGTGAGATGTATGGAAAGAGTAACATGGAAACTTACATTACCATGTGAAAAATAGATAGCCAACCTGAATTTGCTGTATGGCTCAGGAAACTCAAACAGGGGCTTTGTATCAACCTAGAGGGGTGGGATGGGGAGGGAGTTTTAAAAGGGAGGGGATACATGTATACCAATGGCTGGTTCATGTTGAGGTTTGACAGAAAACACCAAAACTCTGTAAAGCAATTATCCTTCAATAAAAAATAAGTTAATTAAAAACAAAATGAGAATTACCTAGGTCACACTTTTTTTTCTTCCTGACTTGATTTCTTTTATGTTACAGTCTTGTGTCTGGGGGTTGAAATAGAAATAGTATATCTGTTTGCTCAGTAAAAAATATACTTACATTTTAACTATGCAAAATCATGACATGTACTATTAATATCTGTTTCTTTAGACTTGCACTGAATCTCCTCATTGTTTATTTACACCTTTTATTTAGATCATTTATTTGAATGTGTTGTCACTTTAGTCTTAAATTTTAGTCATTTTAGTCACTTTAGTCATTTAAAACTAGAAACCTTGAGGAGTGGCTGAGTCAGATGAATATTAAGCTGGTAAGCTGTTTTTTCCTAGAAAAAGGTGATTAAAATTGGTTCAGGGTGGGGCCTTCCAGTTCTGGCTCTAGTGATTGGGTTTATACAGTTGAGTGCAGTGATAGTGATAAACTTTTTGTACCAGATGGGGTGAGATTGTGCTTCTAAGAGTACAAACTTTTGCCTATTGGCTCTGGTCTTTAAAGCTTGAGGATTAAAAACTGTTTTTTTTGTTAATAGTTTGATAGGAGACTTTTCTAATGCCAGTTTGTATATCTGCATATATATCACATCTTGCTTTTTGCTGTGTGGATGTTAAACGTGCTATGAGTATACTTTTAGAGGAAAAGCTTTAAAATAGTGTTAAATAAATGTCTTTTTATACATTTCAACATACTATCACTTTCAAGCATCTAGATGCACTCTAACCAAATTAATTAGAAAAATCTAGATTTCCATTAATACCTGTGCTTTAACTGTTAAGACTCTTGGTTACAGAGACATAGTTTGCTTTGAAAAAAGTTAAAAGTAATTTCTTAAATTTCTGGAGATGAGAACATGCTCTCTGTAAAACCAGTTTTATAGAAAGCCGTTGGACCTCGTTTTTAGATGATCAGTTTTCGGCCTTGAACAAGTCACTTAAGGTCTCAAATAATTGGCCTTTTCATCTGTAAAATAGCATATTCTGTACTTTTCTTTTATCTATTCTTTTTGTGTCAAAGATCTATCAAATCATTTGTTAGAAATTGTTCATTTAATCAGAAGGATCAGGTTTTCTCTCCTTTTCTATTGGCATGATTTGTTACCTATTTGTGTATCATAACCAGTCTTTGGCTTAATTTTACTTTTTTTTTTTTTCCTTTTTTTTTTCATTTATTTTTATTAGTTGGAGGCTAATTACTTTACATCATTGCAGTGGTTTTTGTCATACATTGAAATGAATTAGCCATGGATTTACATGTATTCCCCATCCCGGTCCCCCCTCCCACCTCCCTCTCCACCCGATCCCTCTGGGTCTTCCCAGTGCACCAGGCCCGAGCACTTGTCTCATGCACCCAACCTGGGCTGGTGATCTGTTTCACCCTAGATAATATACATGTTTCGATGCTGTTCTCTTGAAACATCCCACCCTCGCCTTCTCCCAGAGTCCACAAGTCTGTTCTATACATCGGAGGGCTTAATTTTACTTTTGTTAGTTTTTTCTTTTTTTTTTTTCCAGGTGCTAGTCTATTGTCTTGTATTTGTCCCTTTTCTTTGTCTAGTAAATTCAGTTAAAGTGAACAATTTGAAAATAAGTAAGTGACAGACATCACGATACTTGATCCTTAAAATCATTGGCATTAATCAAACAAAGACATACTCCTCCAAAAAATGCAATACCACATCACAATTCTAAATCTAATATTGATACAATTGATGCTTTTGAACTGTGGTGTTGGCGAAGACTCTTGAGAGTCCCTTGGACTGCAGGGAGATCCAGCCAGTCCATCCTAAAGGAGATCGGTCCTGGGTGTTCATTGGAAGGACTGATGCTGACGCTTAAACTCTTAATACTTTGGCCACCTCATGCGAAGAGTTGACTCATTGGAAAAGACCCTGATGCTGGAAGGGATTGGGAGCAGGAGGAGAAGGGGACGACAGAAGATGAGATGGCTGGATGGCATCACCGACTTGATGGGCATGAGTTTGAGTAAACTCCGGGAGTTGGTGATGGACAGGGAGGCCTGGTGTGCTGCGATTCATGGGGTTGCAAAGAGTCGGACACAACTGACTGAACTGAACTGTTGTCTAGGATATAGTCTGTATTCAAATTTCTTACTTCTTCCAGTAATATCCTTCAAGTTATCCTCAACCCACCTCATCCCTCCTTCAATTCAGGAGCTAATCAAGGATCACCCTAAATTTAGTTGTCATGTAGAACTATCTTGGTTAAAGATCCTTTCTAGAAAGGTGATAATATATTTAAAAGTAAACTTGATATATAATACTTAATGGAAAGTCCTTACTAGTCTAATACAGTGGTATCTGTGTTAGATATCTCCTTATGCTAATTCTCTGCTTTGTGTTTAGGCTCTTCTGTGTGGCAGTTCAGAATGATGGATCAAGCGAGATCAGCATTCTCTAACTTGGTAAGATTTTAAGATGTGTTTCTCTGTCACCAGTTTGCAAGAATCTGAAGCATACTATCTGAGGATAGTTTTCACCCAGTGAGCAAGAAAAAATACCCAAAGTTATCATCAGTTACTCATTTATGTTTGAAGTGCTGGTCTTGAGGTGTAATAGGTCTCACAAAGGAAGGTTATATTCAGTCTTGAGTAGAGTTAATTATGGAAAGTCATGTAAGAAGTTTCAGGGCACAGTGAAGAGATAGTCTGGTAGTTCAGATAAACTGAAGAAAGCACTGGTCAAAATGTCTATCAGTAGACATGATAACAGAAACTCTGAATGAAAAGGCTGAATGAGATGAAGGCCAGTGTATGAACCAGCCCTCTTCTGCTGTTGACAGAACTGGGCACAGGGAAGAGTGCTAGCTTGAAAAGGGAACTTCTTTTTCCTTGAGAATGTGCAGCAAGTCATAATAATGGCCCAATAACACCTGACCAAGCTTCCTTTAAATGTCCCAGTTCCCTTTCTTCTCCTTCATAATGCTTTCTTGCTTTTTTCTTTTTTTAAATCTCAGTTTGGTGGAGAACCATTGTCATATACCAGGTTTAGTCTGGCTCGGCAAGTAGATGGTGATAACAGTCATGTGGAGATGAAATTAGCTGCAGATGAAGAAGAAAATGTTGACAGTAACATGAGGGGTAACCAAACCAGTATCACAAAACCGAAAAGGTTAAATGGATATATCTGCTATGGGATCATTGCTGTAATCATCTTTTTCTTGATTGGTAAGAACAACCATTCAAAACTTAAAAAATTCCTTGTCGTCAACTCTAGGAAGTTTGTTCAGCCAGCTCAGCAAACATTTATGTAGTGCATTGTGCAAGATACTAGGAATACAATGATGCCTAAGATTTTACACCTGCCTTTGACGTTAGCCTGGTGGGAGAAGAGCAACACAAGAATTATTTTAGTGTAATGTGCAAATGTTACACTAGAAATTTGCACAGGATATTTGTAGCACAGATGCTGGACCTGAGGAGTCACAGAAGGCTTCTGGGAAGAAAAGTTACCTTTGCTTTGAAAAGCTAACTGTTTAAAATGAAATTATTATATAATAGATTGAATGGTTTAAAATAGACAAAACAGATTCATTATTTACTTTCAGATGCCTTACAGTTTAATTAATGCCAGTATTTTCAAGGGGTAACTGAAAATATGAACAATTCTTACAGGAACGGAATATAAATGAAATTCTTTGAGTTCAACTCTGAAACTTTTTATCCTTAGGATTTATGATCGGCTACTTGGGCTATTGTAAACGTGTGGAACCACAAGGTGATTGTGGGAAACGGGCAGCAACACAGCCTTCATGCCCAGAGGAGACAGAAACTTTCGAATCAGAAGAGCAACTCCCTGGAACACCTCGCATATTCTGGGCAGACCTCAAATCAGCATTGTCAGAAAAACTGAATGTCATAGACTTTGCCAAGGCCATCAAGTAAGCCTGAGCTGCCTCACAAGTTCAACTTCAGTGCCTAAACAAATACTGTTAGGTGCAATGGAATAAAACAAGGGTGATAGTCTAGAGGAAAAGCTGTTTAGAATAGGCGAGACATTTTCAGTTAAAGGGTAGTGAAAGTGAAAGTGTTAGTTGCTCAGTTGTGTCCGACTCTTTAAGACCCCACAGGTTGTAGCCCACCAGGCTTCTCTGTCCGTGGAATTCTCAAGGCAAGAATGCTGGAGTGGGTAGCCAGCCATTCCCTTCTCCAGGGGATCTTCCCAACCCAGGGATTGAACTCCGGTCTCCCGCATTGCAGGCAGATTCCCCCCCCCCCCCTTTTTTTTTTTAAAGAAAATTCATAGGCTCTTGGTCTTTTTGTCATCTGGTTCTTTGTAGGCTGTTGCTTGCTGTCAGACTTTGTTCTTCTCTGATTTTCTATCTCATCCCCCTGTAAGTCATGCTGAACCCTGCTGCTATCCTTAAAGGGATCAGTAGCTTTTTTCATCCTCTAGCTCAGGACTGACAGCCCAAGTCTCAAGTAGTTCTTGATTTCTTCTGGTTCTTACTCAACCCGTACCCTCAGAAGTGTCCTTAAGGTTTCTGTCTTTAGATTTTTCTTTTTTTGGCTGCACTGGGCTTCCTTGCTGCATGTATGGGCTTTCTTTAGTTGGCAGTGAGCAAGGGCTGCTCTCTAGTTACAGTGCCTGCTCTTGTTGGGGAACACAGTCTCCAGAGCGCAGGCTCAGCAGTTGTGGCGCAGGGGCTTAGCTGACCTACAGCATGGGGAATCTTCCCAGACTGGGGATCAAACTCGTGTCCCCTGCATTGGCAGGTGGATTCTTTACCACTGGACCAGCAGGGGAGTCCTTGTCTTTAGATTTTTAAGATCTTTGGACACATATCTAACTCTGTAAAGAACAAATCATCTTTTACCTTTCATTAATCTCGAATAGTTTCAATGGGACAATAATGGTTTTGGTCTTAAATGAGAAATCTTGGCATTTTTACTTCTTCTGGTGAATATTTTTGTGTGCACTGTACACTAGGCATTATGGATAAAGTGAGGGTGAGGCTATAGTCTCAAAAAACTATATAACTAATGTGATGTGCATATTTACAAAGAGTCATGAGAAATCAAAACGAAGAAGAGTTTTGCTTCTGGGATATTCGGAATGCTTCAAGAAGTGAAATTGAAGCTGTATGTCTTGAATTCACCAACACTGTCTTTCATTTCGCTTACAGCAGATCTTATGGAAACTACTCATTTCCCCTAAAATTACCCTAAGCAGATATATAGGGATGAGGCTTTACAGTAGATAAAGAGGTTTAATTCCTTCAAATGTAGATGCCTTTTTTTTTTTCCCCTTCTAAGCTTGTCTCTGTCTGGTTAATCCAGAATTTTGGGTCACAGTTATTTTATTGAGTTATGCTTTTAAGACAGCTTTCCTGATAACTTGAGTTCAGTGTTTAAGTTAAACTTTCGTTCATTTAACAGTGAGTTTTTTCCCCTCCAGGATGCTGAATGAAGATTCTTATGTCCCACGTGAGGCTGGATCTCAAAAAGATACCAGTTTGGCTTTTTTCATTGAAAATAAATTACATGACTATAAACTCAACAAAGTCTGGCATGATGAACATTTTGTTAAGATTCAGGTTAAAGGCAGGTATGTTGAAAGATACTTCATTTTATAGAATTAGCTATTCTCAGGTATGCTAATTATTGTCTGACTCTTTGCGACCCCGTGGACTGTAGCCCGCCAGGTTCCTCTGTCCATGGAATTCTCCAGGCAAGAATACTGGAATGGGTAGCCACTCCTACCGTCTTGCCTGGTAGGATCTTCCCAATCTAGGGATTGAACCTGAGTCCCTGCATTCCAGGAGGACTCTTTACCATCTGAGCCACCAGGGAAGCCCTAATTATAGCAAAGCCCTTCAAAATAAATAATGCATGTCAAATGCTAAATGTATTAAATCCATTTAATTTTTTTCTCAAAGATACCTTAGCTTCATTTTCCCTTAACCTTTTTTTTTTTCCCTGCAGTTCTCAAAATTCGGTGTCTGTAGTCAGTGCAAGTGGTGATGGCAGTCAGGCGTACTCAGTGGAGAATCCTGAGGGTTACGTGGCATATAGTAAGGCTGCGACAGTTACTGTGAGTAAGGCAAAGCCATGCATGAGACTTTTTCCCCTGTTGAATAGTTCAAAAACTTATTGTCTTTCCTGTTCTTAGTATAAGTTTACTTGTAAAATGTAGCTGGTCATGGGATATTTTTGTTCTCATCCCTCCTATGCCACAGTTAAAATCCTGAGTCCTTAGCTTGGTCGGCAAAGCCCTAAGTAATTCTGCTTTGCTCTTCACTCACTCTGCGGTGGCCACTCGCCTCCCTGCTGTTCCTTAAACACTCTTAACTCAAACATGCTCCCACCTCAAGGCCTTTGCCTTTGTCTGTCCCACTCCTCCCTTAAATATCAGCATGGCTTCTTCTCTCACATTGCACTGGAGTCTCTTCTTCAGCATTACCTCCCTAGGGAAGTCTTCTTTGATTATCTTATCAAAAATGGCCTTCCTCCAGTCCCTTCTCCTTATCTTGTAAGTACAGCACCTGATATTATTCACTTGTTTCCACACTAGAATGTAAGCTACACAAAGGGCTAGGGGTTAGTTTTTCTGCTATGTCACAGAGCCTCGGACAGTGCCTGACACATGCTAGTATTTACTGAATGAATCCATGTATCAGATTCACCCTTATGTGGAGGCAGATATAAATAACCATCTTGGCTGGAGTCTAATGTTAGTTTGATGCTTTAATGCTTGATCTTTTAAAATTTAGGCAAATTTGGCCAAACTACTATAGAAGTTGAAAAACAGCTATCTAGATCTATCTAGGTTTTTTAGGTTAAAAACCACATATTTATATGCCAGAGTCTTATCTGAAGACTGTCTTCTGAGCCAAATGAAGTTTTATGGTTCTTCTCTGTCTTCCTGATTGCCTGTGCTGTATCACTTTCACTGGCCACCCACAAGCCAGTGTTTTTATAGTTTACGGTGAACTATGTCATGATCTCTGAAGAAGATTTAGCTTTAGGACTAGGGACCAGGCTTGATCACTCAAGAACTTTTGTGTGGCATAAGTTTGATGACAGTGAAAAAGGACAGACAAAGCTACTAATATAGACATCAGAAGGGGACAGCGCCCCCACTCACTTCTGATACTAGTGGTATCAAGGCCTTATATGTGTTTACCAGACCCACTTCCACAGCATACATCTTAAATTAACAATAGAAAGGTCTTACCAGACCCATTCCCATAAGTCTTAATATAACAAGATAACCAAGATACAGAGCTTAAGGGAAAACATACCCTTGAACAAAATGAGCTTTGTTGTGTAATCATTAGCTCTGGGTAAAACATTTTATGTGACTAAGACTAAGGAATGTAGAAAAAAAAGTTTGTCCTTTTCTCCTCCTCAAGAGACCCCTTTTTCCTCCTCAAGGGCCCTGGACTCCTTATCAACCTACCTAAGAATTAATTCTCTCAGTAGGTTGTTCTGTTAAAGAATGTGGAGAGAATTGGTTCATCTGAATGCTATCTGTGTTTAGATATTTGGTTGTTAAATGTCAGTTTATAATGTCAGTTCAGTTCATCTGAACTCTGATAGAGTTTAGGAGCATTATGATGACAGCTTACATAGACATCTAAAAGTTGATCTCTGCAAGTTTATTTTCTTCTAAAACAACTTTTGGATGGATTTATTATCACAACTTTAAGTTAATTCTATGTCCTCAGTTATCTGCAGTTCAAGTGTAGGAACATTATGTAATTGGTTCTGCCTTGGCTAGTCTACAGTGTTTTTATTGATAGATATCTCTTTGCTTAAGCATATTTTATTATCCTTTCTCTTTCCCCAAAATATCTGAAGCAATGTAAATGAACATAAATAGTCAATGTTAGTTAAATGAAAGGTATCATAAGATAATGAAAGATACAATAATTGGAGACCAGAAATCTTGACTTCACTCCTGTTAACCCTGAACATTTTTTAAAAAGAAATTTTCAAGATAGATCAGTAGAAAGTATCCAATGAGAGTAACAGAGAGAAATAAGATTGAAAAATTTAATGGAGCCTCAGGAACCTGTAAAACAGAAAGAGGAGCTAATTTTCATACCATTGGAGTCCCAGAAATAGAGAAGAAACCGTGTGGTAATGAAAACAGTTGAAGAAATATGGTTGGCTGCTTACTAAGTTTGATGAAAGATATTAACAAGCAGAGTCAAGAAACTGGGAAAACTCTGAACAAGATAAAACCAAAAAAAAAAAAGGCCATTATACAGAGTGAAGCCAGCCAGAAAGATAAACACCAATACTGTATACTAACGCATATATATGGAGTTTAAAAAGATGGTAAAGCTAACCCTATATGCAAAACAGAAAAAGAGACACAGATGTACAGAACAGACTTTTGGACTCTGGGAGAAGGCGAGGGTGGGATGTTCTGAGAAAATGGCATTGAAACAAGTATACTATCAAGGGTGAAACAGATCACCAGCCCAGGTTGGATGCCTGAGACAAGTGCTCGGGGCTGGTACACTGACTGGGAAGACCCAGAGGGATGGGATGGGGAGGGAGGTGGGAGGGGGGATCGGGAACGGGAACACATGTAAATCCATGGCTGATTCATGTCAATGTATGGCGAAAACCACTACAATATTGTAAAGTAATTAATTAGCCTCCAACTAATAATAAGTGAAAAAAAATTTGACTTACAAAAAAATTAAAAAACAAAACAAAAACAAAAGATCTATGTCCAGACACGTCATAATCAAAAAAAAAGAAAAAATTTATTTGGTTGTGCTGGGTCTTAGTTGTGGCATGTGTGATCTAGTTCCCCAATCAGGGATCAAACCCTGGGAATGCAGAGTCTTAGCCACTGGACCACCAGGGAAGTCCCCTGACCACTTTTGACTTTAGAATTCTCATATACTTTTTCTAGGCCTTAGCCTTCTTTTTTTTTTTTTCCTCTCTTGGGTTTGACCTGTAAAATATTTGGTGGCAGACTCTGTCATTGTTCTAAGACCATAATGCTCATTGAATCTAATGTCTTTATCCTAGGGTAAACTGGTCTATGCTAATTTTGGCACTAAACAAGACTTTGAGGATTTAAATATGCCTGTGAATGGATCTTTAGTGATTGTAAGAGCTGGAAAAATCACTTTTGCTGAAAAGGTGAGTATGAATTGTTAATTTTCTTAGATTCTCAAAACCTTCAGTCTTAAACTCTCATACCTGATAATATAATTTATTAAAATACAAATCAAATAAGTTCCTGTTATCTAAAGTTATAGGATACTTCTGAAACTGGCATAGCTACTTGGAGTACTTTGCAATAATTGTTTTCCAGTAAAAATGCAGTTATGAGAAATGCTTAAGTGAAAGAGATGTAAATTATGTCTGTGTAATCAAGTTTTATATATATATAAAACCAAGGTTTATGTGTATATATACACATACACACATACATTCTCTCTCACTCTCTCTATATATAAATGTATATGATTCAGGTATAACTGTGTTTTATAAAAAGGAAAATTAAAAGTCACCTATACAAGGGCTTAGAATGGAAAGACAGTGGTTGTCTTGGATCGGTTTTGATTATTTATATTTTGAATTCTCTTTAAGAGTTAGTTAAGCTTTATTGTGCAGCCACATTGGAGTGGTGTTAAAGTTAGTTAAGCTTTATTGTGCAGCCACATTGAAGTGGTGTTAAAACTAATTGTTTGGTATTTTGGTTGGTTGTTTAGAACTTAATACACACAAACACATGAATGAGTGCAAGTAAAACTGGGGAAGTCTGAATAATACATGTAGATTGTACTGTATCAATGTTAGTATTCAGGCTGTTAGTTCTGCAGACTTTGAAAGAAAACTGGGCAAAGTTTACAGTGAACCTCTGTTATTCTTAAAACTGCAAATAAATCTACAATTATCTTGTTAAAAATTTCAGTTAATTTCTTTAAGAAAGTTAAATTTTAAGGCAAGTATTTTTTCCTATACATATTAGCTATTGAAATGTTGGAAGTATTGGTGTAGTCTGCTATAGCCCTTTGTCTTTCAGTATAAGTTCAGTATGTATATTTAATTTTTGTTGATTAACTCTTCATTTTCTGAGCTTTATGTGTTTTTCTTTAGGTTGCAAATGCTGAAAGTTTAAATGCAATTGGTGTCTTGATATACATGGACCATAGTAACTTTCCCATTGTTAATGCAAATCTTCCAGTTTTTGGACATGTGAGTTTTTATTTCTTAACTAAATAAGTTATTGGGTCTCCAAATTGTTGCTGGGTTCTATCTATATTAATAGCAATATAACTGTTGCCTTCCTTAAATACTTTTTTTGCCCTTGGAGAATTTTAGCAGTAAGTGAGAAGATGAATTACATGACTTTGAAACCTAATTATTACTTATTGCTAAAAATACTTTACCAATAGTACCTTGAATTAAGAATTTGACATATGCCATATAAAAACAAAAGTCATATATTATAGAGCCACTCAGACTTTCAGACTATAAATGTAGGTTATAGCCTCATACAGAATTTGAATCTTACAGGGATTTCTTGAATAAGTGTGTGAGCTAATTATAATTACTCTTTTGTTTTACTAGGCTCATCTGGGAACAGGTGACCCTTACACACCTGGATTCCCTTCTTTCAATCACACTCAGTTTCCACCATCTCAGTCATCAGGATTGCCCAACATACCTGTCCAAACAATTTCCAGAGCTGGTGCAGAAAAGCTATTTCAGTAAGTTCTTATTTGAAAACCATCTTGCAGGGTCAAGTTTTATGATTAGGAGGAAATAATCATCTGTTGATTTGATAAAATCTTAAAACAATTGGCTGTAATTTCCCACATGTTGGGTGTTTGGGGGATGGTTAGCTGTTAACTTGATGTATATAAAAATGCAATTTTTCCTCTATAAAGTGATCTTAATAGACATTTGATTCATTAAACTTGAAGAGTCCTTGTTCAGTCCACCCAGTGAATTTCTTGTGTAATATTGTTGGCATATCTTCTGCTTGAGTACTTCCTGTGGTTAAAACATTTTGTTACATATGGCAACATTCAGTTATTGGAGAAGATCTGTTAGAATTTGTATTGGGCTGAAATCTTATTCCCTAGAATATCCATTAGTTCTGGATTTTCTTTTTTAGCAACAGAAGGATTTGTTTCCTTGTCTATAGATTGAATATCCTCAGTTCTCATGACAGTTTCCCAAATGCTTTATAGTCATAATTAGTCCTTCTGGATATCCTCCCTATTGTACTAGTATTCCTGTTTAAAAATAGAAACCAGGCTGGTTAGAGTACACATCATTAATTTTCATCTTGATCTCGATATATCCCCTGGTATTGGCAGGGGATGTTAGTCTAGTTTCAAACATTCATATGAGCATGTATTTGCTATGTGACATAGAATAAGTTACTCTAACCACATTGGTGATGTTTGACATAATTGGATAGCAGGATTACTGATATCAAATGAAGAGCCATCTACATGCAAGGACTCATAGCTCAGTCGGTAAAGAATCTGCCTGCAATGCAGGAGACCTGGGTTCAATTCCTGGGTCAGGAAGATCCCCTGGAGAAGGAACTGGCAACCCACTCCGGTATTCTTGCCTGGAGAATCTCATGAACAGAGGAGCCTGGCAGGCTCCAGTCTGTGGGGTTGCAAGAGTCAGACACAACTTAGCAACTTAACCACTACTATATGTGACCATTAATAATGTGTCTAAGAAGTTTTTGTAATAGGTGATTCTTTTTGACTAAAACCAAACTTGGAATCAGCTACTTCTTCCTACTACCTGCAAGCCTTTCCTAATCTGTGAATCCAGCCCCTTATCTTGTTCTTATGTACTGGGGAGTTAATAATGTTTTGACTTATTTATGTAAGTAAGCCCTTTTTGAGCAGTCATTATTTGGATAACACATGTGGAATCAGATGGGGGGAGCTATCTAATCTAACTATATAGCAGCATGAGAGTGTTCTTTCATAACTGAAATAAGAATGTATACTTGCCTTGTTGGGCTTTCCTTGTGACTCAGCTGGTAAAGAGTCCACCTGCAATGTGGGAGACCTGGGTTTGATCCCTGGGTTGGGAAGATCCCCTGGAAAGGGAAAGGCTACCCACTCCAGTATTCTGTCCTGGAGAGTTCCATGGACTGTATATGTGTAGTCCATGGGGTCTCAGAGTTGGATGCGACTGAATGACTTTCACTTTCACTTTTCACTTTCACTTGCCTTGTTAGTGGAGAGTTAGGAAACATGAGGATGTATTAATGTACCTTTATAGATAAGGACTTCATTTTTAATCAATCTTGGAGTCTATTTAAAATGTAAATTACAACTATTCTCTGGCAGAAACACATACATCAGGTGGGATAGGTAATTAAAAATTCATTAAACTAGGAAGCAACTCATAATTTTCAAATGACTGCCTATAGATCGGAGTAAAACACAAGTGTTTGGTCACTAGTGAGTAATTTTGTGTGTTCTCTTTATTTGTCCTCTTAACCTCGAAAGTCATTGATTTTGTAAACCTAGAGGAAGTTAACAGTAACTCAGAACTCTGATCTCTACTTTCTGCTTCTAGAAATATGGAAGGAGAGTGTCCTCGTAGTTGGGGAACAGACTCTTCATGTAAGCTGGTATCCTCACAGGATAAGAATGTGAAACTTAGCGTGAACAATGTGCTGAAGGAGATAAGAATTTTAAATGTCTTTGGAGTTATTAAGGGCTTTGAAGAACCAGGTAAAGATCCTTGGGGACTTTTTGTTTGGTTTTCCTCACTAAAGATGTGGCCAGAGGGAGGGAGGGCAGGAGAGCTGACTGCACTTGGTTTCTTGAAATGCTAAACCATATCTGTCCTAAAGTGAACTAACTGTAAGTGTCAGCTTTAATAGGAGGTAATAACAGCCTAGAAAATTGACTTGTTGAACTGACCATTATGCCTAGGAAATCTCTTTTTAAGTTATTAAATAGACCAGAGGTAAGCAAATTTCTTAAGGGGGCAAATAATAAACATGTTGTAGGCCAAACAGTCTCCATTGCAACTCTTCAACTCTGCCATTGCAGCATGAACACAGCCATGGACAATATCAGTGAATGGGCACGCAGGCTATAGTTTGCCACTATATCTGTTTGCTGTCCAATAGTCGTATCATTTGGTAAGGAAAGCCCTTGGACTTCAGTGCTTACTAGACAATTAGCGAGCACAAATAAGTAGGCAGTGAGTAACCTTAATTGGTAATGTAGAAAAAGGAGATTATTATTGTCATATGAATGTTTAATCCCTTGAGTCCTAAGTCAGATCTGAAGTAAGGATCTCTTACCCTTACTACATGGACTACATTTTTTACCCTTCTACTAATGTGTTTATTCTAGACTTCACTATTAGAAAACAGTTTAAAAGCTGATTGAATAATTTTTTTTTTTTTTAATTAAGATCGCTATGTTATAGTAGGGGCCCAGAGGGATGCCTGGGGTCCTGGAGCTGCAAAGTCCAGTGTAGGAACAAGTCTGCTATTGACACTTGCCCAGATACTTTCCGATATGGTCTTAAAAGGTAGAGTATTTTGAGAACTTGAGCATCTATGTACTGTGCTTCTAAATGTTATAATATGCTTTGCTCATTTTTGCCTATGTTCTTATGGTTCACTTGTGCTGGGCCCTAGGACCCAAAGATTCAAGAATATGATGGGGGTTTGTATGTGTGGGTGGGTTGGTATAAGAGTGGCAAGTACCATCGGAGAAAGGCTTAAGCCTTTCTTACATAAAATTCCTTAAAGTTTGTTTTATTTATTTATTTTTGGCTGTGCTGGGTCTTCATTGCTGCACAGGCTTTCTCTATTTGAGACAAGCGGGGGCTACCCTTTGTTGCAGTGTGTAGGCTTCTTATTGCCGTGGCTTCTCTTGTTGCAAAGCACAGGCTCTCGGACCTGGGGCTTCAGTAGCTGCAGCACATGGGCTCAGTAGTTGCGGCTCCTGGGCTTTAGATTGCAGGCTCAATAGTTGTATCACATGAGCTTGCTCTGCAGCATGTGGGAGCTTCCTAGACCAGAGATTGAACCCAAATCTCCTGCATTGGCAGGCGGATTCTTTACCACTGAGCCACCAGGGAAGCCCTAGACCCTGAATTCTTAAGTACAAAGTAGGTTGTCTTTTGTTGTATCTGCTTTTGACTTTGAAAGTTTTCTGTGCAGTGTCTTCATGAGTTTCTTTGAGACACTGGAAAGCATTGTATTGGGCCCTAAATTCTCTTTGACATGTCCAGAATGATACAGCAAATCTAACATGGTCCCTAAGGAATCTGTTTGAAAGCAAGCAGTGTCATACCTCTGCACTATGTTCTATAGTTTGATTATAGAATGATAATATATAAAATATAGACTATTTGATTTGTAAGTATATTATATAGTATATGTTTATGTAAGAAAGGCTCACTTTCAAGCCTTTGTCATATGGTACTTGCCACTCTTTTATATCAACCCACCCACACATGCAAACCCCCATCACAATCTTGAATCTTTGGGTCCTAGGGCAAGTTGCAGTGCTTAACTCATATACAAAAGTAAATTAATGCAGAAAAAGATGTACCCAGAGGAGGGGGAGGAGTGGAGTGGAGGGTAGTGGCCCATAAAAGCCCCAAAGGAGCTAATCATTAATTTCTCTGAAAACTCACTCTTTCCTAAACTTAAATTTGTGAGTTTTAATTCTATCTCAAACATTCGTTTTAAAAGTAATCTGGTATTTTAAGTGACTTCTAGGCAAATTGTTTTCAAAAAAGATACTTTGGTTGTGATTTCAAATAGCTCTTGGTCTGGAAGTTATGGGACTCAAAGAGTGTAGGAGTGAGGTCTAGTAAGCTGGTCCCTGCTGTGTACTTAAGGTCTTATTTGCAAATTGTCTCCTATTACTTTTAAAGTTTATTTCTATTTCTTCTTTTGGTTCTTTTCACTTGGGGCCTCAAAAGGAAAAGAAATAGTTTTGAATCTGTAGTCTGAAGTTTCTGATTGCATCTCAAGTCAGTTATTGACCTGTAACCTTTCCCAAGATAGAACTAACTTTTTGTTGTCTTTTAGGTCAGTTTAAACCCAGCAGAAGCATTGTCTTTGCCAGCTGGAGTGGTGGAGACTTTGGAGCTGTTGGTGCCACTGAATGGCTAGAGGTATTATCTATATCTCATCCATACACAGAATGGGCCTCCCACTTGTAATTGCTTAAGCTGTCTTCCAGAAATGATGCTCTTTTAGATTTGTTTATATCATTTTTTACCTTCATATATTTAGTTTTAATAAAATCCAAACTTAAACAGAAATCCCTAATGATAGCTCTGTCAGTGATAACTGGATTAACACATACTAGTACATTCGTATTTTTCCTTTTCCAGGGATACCTTTCCTCATTGCATTTAAAGGCTTTCACTTATATTAATCTGGATAAAGCTGTTGTTGGTAAGTGTCTTTTCTTTAGTATCTTTTCATGATAAATTTATAAACTACTTATAAAATAGTAGACAAAAGCTTTCTAAAGCGGCACTTGTTATTTTTTACAGTCTACATTGGACATAGCTAGATCAAAAGATTTACATAGCTTTCTCTTAAATAGTGCATTAAGTTATACGGGTGTGGATTGCCTTGCCTAGAGCAGTGGTTCTTTACGTGGTCCCCAATCAGCAGCATCAGGATCACCTGGGTACTGTGAGAAATGCAAAATTTTAGGCCCTACCCTAGACCTTTTGAACCAGAATCTGGACCATACCATCTAGCAAACTGTTCTAACAAGTCCTCTAGGTGATTATGATGCACTAAAGTTTGAGAACCACTAGTTATCTACTTTGGACCAGGAGGAAATAAACTATACCAATAGAATGGTACTTCTGGAGACTAATTAACAAGTTGCTAGATTGTGGCTTCATGGATAGAAATATAAGATAATCAAACTCCTGAAAGAGTCTGGTGTTACTAAAAATACAGATGTAGCCAGTGGATGTAGTGGAGAGTAATGAAATGTCTACTTGGGGAAGAAAAAGGAAGGAGTTACAATTAAACTAAATTTTATTAGTCATTATTGCTATTTTACCTTTGCAACAAAATGTATTGAATATAACAAGCTTGCTATAGCTAATAGATGACTGCCCTAACATGGGTAACCAAAAAGTTACAAAAATACAAATCATTAACATTAAATATGCAAACTCAAGGACTGAGAGCTTCAGTTGAGTGAAATTTGGTGTTTAGCAGTCACTAAAGAGCTTGACTCCTCAACCACTTTTTTGTCTACTTCATAAAGAGGGATAGTTGTATATGCCATTGATCTAGGTTATTGTCCTCCTGTTTGCCAAGTAGTTTTAGCTGTAGAAGTAGCAGTGTGCAAATTGCTTGACTAAAGGAGGAGCAATGTTAAAGTAATCTCTTTGCAGGTACTACCAATTTCAAAGTTTCTGCCAGCCCACTGTTGTATTCACTTATTGAGAAAATCATGAAAGATGTGAGTATATCCTTAATTATGAAAGTGTAATGAAAGTTAGATAAAATAATAGGATGACAAACATTTATATTTAATTGTAGATGTCTATGAGGGTTGTCTAGAATCAGAATGTTAAAGAAGGTTTAAATGAACTTGAACCATACCTGAGACTTAAATAAGGCCAGATGAAATACCCATTGAATAAAAACAGACATGATGAGATACTCATTGAATAAAAACAGACACGTGAAAGACTGTAGTTTTGAATGAGCAGGGAAAAAGCATATAATATATTGGAGTGATTAAAGCTGGAGACGAATAAGGGTCAAGGAACTTGACCTCGCTCCCATGGGAAACTGGGGAGTTACTACAGGGTCTCCCGGCAGGGTAGTAATGTGTTTGCAGGTTAGGCTGGCAGTAGTATAAAATGTGTTGGAAGGAAGAAACTAGAAAGAAGATAGTTGGCAGAACATAAAGGCTAGAAAGGTCTGTTAAAACTGGGTGAAGCCCCTTTAAAATGTTAAAAAGGAAAACTTTTTCTTATGACTAAAAGAACAAACAGCACAAGCCTAGAAGGAATAACTTCAGAAATTATGGATTGTTTTAACTGTCTTAAAGAAATTTGTTTCAAGAAGATATAATAAAAAATTTAATGTTTTAAATAAATGTTTATAGAGAAAAATGTTAGTGACTAGTCTGAATGAATAAATCCAGAAGGGTTCATTTTAATCATAATTTATCTTACAGGTGAAACATCCACTTACTGGGTTGTCTCTGTATCGGGACAGCAACTGGATCAGCAAAGTGTAAGTTGAGAAAGGTGAATGAATAGCTAACAGGAAAGCAGGGTCACTCAATAAATAGCACCTACTATATCCATTAGAGGTTTAAACATAACCTAGCATTGAGTTTACCTGTACCTGGAGAGATTCAGTTTAAGAATTTACTTGAGGGTAGGATAGGGGTGCATGTAGCATAGTCGGTTCTTTAGAAAACTTTCTAAAGACATTTTTGGCCCTTCTTGCAGGAAGAAACTTTCTTTGGATAATGGTGCTTTCCCTTTCCTTGCATATTCTGGCATCCCGGCAGTCTCTTTCTGTTTTTGTGAGGTAAGTCTGAAGAATGCCACAGCATTATATCTTAGATATTCTTTGGTCAGTTTTGAGACCAACTTTCTTAGAATGCTTAGTATGTATTGAGAAATTATATATGTGCAGTTACTGCAATCTTCCTTATTGTCAGTCTTAACATAGAATTTTAATCCCAGCTTAGTTAGCAATTGAGTTTATTTGCTAAAACTCCTTCAGTTATATATGATGGCTTTTAGTAACAAGGCTGTCTATTGGACAGTGCAAGTATAGAATATTTCCTTCAAACAAAGTTCTACTGGATAATGCTGTTCTTGATGCCTGTTGAAATATGATTGTAGATGTTTGTCCCGAGATGTTAGTTAGTCTCTTAGGCAGGGATTATAGATAAAAGCACGGGAAAAAAAAAAAGGCGAGCTTTTTAAGGGATAGAACTTTGAACTGACCAAGTTGTTGGAAAACCAAGATTGGCTTGGTACAAGAGCCAATTAGAAGAGACTGAAAACCAGGCAGACTAAAAATGAGGAAGGCCTCTGTGTTGGAGTTGAAAAACCAGCTCTGTAGCAGGTTCTTCCAAGGTGGGAAGAGATCCCAGAGTTCGTACCGGGGTTCAGGGTAGAAACTGTTGACTTTGGCATCAAATTGTTGATGCCATTTGAGGCCAGGTCCTTACTAGACTTGTTCCCACTGGGTGTTTTAGCCTGGGATTAGGACAGAAAAAGTGAGGAAGTGATGCAAGATGTGGATTTAGAGATTAACATAGCTGGAATTCCCCTAACCTTCTGCTAGATCAATAGTATGAATGGTATTGAAATATTAGGTCATGATGTCTATTTAGTACTCTAGGAAGAACTGAGTGTCAGGTCCCAGGGTTGAGGAAATTTATGAATGATTTCTGTTGACCTTCAGAAGTCTTTTTTTTTTTTTAAGCTGTTCAGAGGTATAGGTAATACCTATACAAATAATACACATACAGATATGTATGTAACACATACAGATAAGCATGTACAGTATGAAAGTTAAGGACCGAGGTCAAACCAAAGGATTGCCAATGAGATTGTCACCAAGGACAGTGGTAGAGTTGAAGAAATCGTTACTAAAGTTGTCCAATGAAAGTAGAGAGTTCTTGTGTGTTGAACAGTCTCGTTAGAAAGGTAGCATGAGTGGATGAATGCTGCATGATGAGAAAGAAGGTAAATTTTTGGCTAAAAGTTTATTGAAAGTACATTTCAGGCATGCTCTCCTCTTCCCTCATGCCAAACTTCTCAGGGAGACAAGAACAAGGATACAACCTGTTCTGGATACAAATCGTTCAGGGTCTGTGATGTGATAGAACAGGGATTCAGTACAGCTTAGGAGAAAGTAAAATCTTTCCAGGAGTAGGTTAGGTTCAGAGGAACAAGTTAAAAAAAAGCAGTATCTTCTTAAAGTAGTGAATAGGATATAAAGTTGGAGTAGGACTATATTAGAAGCCAAGGAAGAATTATAGTTAACCTTGATGGGGGAAACTAGAATGTGAAGCCCTAGTCTTATAACCCACCTTTGTTCTCCAGGACACAGATTACCCTTATCTGGGCACCCCCATGGACACCTATGAGACATTGGGCGGAGAAGTCCCTCAGTTGAACAGAGTGGCTCGGGCAGCAGCAGAAGTGGCTGGTCAGCTTGTGATTAAACTTACCCATGATGTTGAGCTGAACCTGAACTATGAGATGTATAATGATGAAATACTTAGGTTTGTGAAGGAAATGAACCTATTCAGAGCAGACATAAGGGTAAGCACTAATTAAATCAGGTTCCTACTGGTAAAGTATCAAACAGTTTGAAGAATACTGTTTAGCTATTCCTGGGGAGCAGGACAGGTAGCCAAAGTATGTTTTAAAGTGCACTGAAGTATAATTTTGCATAGAATCCATAACTCACTTGAGAGGAAGCTCAGAGACTGCAGTACATAGGACAGACCACAGCAGGTGTTTCAGAATCTACAACAGTGTTATTTCATTCATCTGAAACAATTCTCATTCATGTATTCCTAGCACCCCATAAAGAGGCTGGGTGTAAACCATATGAAGATCTCAACTATGAACTTTTGAGTTTGGGTCACAAATACTTTTCAGAGATCACATGGGTGGAGAGAGGAACATAGCCAGTGGGTTTATTTAGTGTTGATCCTTTGTGTAATATTCAAACTTTTGATAAAACCAAATTAATATTAATTTTATAGTACCAGATGTCAATTCAACAGATCCCTTAAATAAAGTAAATCACTGATAACAAAATCTTAATTATAAGGATTGGCTTTCTTGAAACTCGAAACTAATTCTAACTGATCAGAAACTGGGACATAAGAATGGATAACAGTACTATTTGCTGAGCTTAAATATGAGTACGTTACTTAGTTTATAGAGCCTGAAACCTTCTATACAGGATGCTTATATCTAGCTGACTTGAGCTTGTTTGTGAGTCTCACCCCCTTTTATCAGAATCATTTCAGTTAATACACCTAAATTTGAAAGGTATGTAGAATAACACTCTTAGAAATATAATGTCTAATAGTGACTTTCATATCTTTGTTTCAGGATATGGGTCTGAATATGCAGTGGCTGTATTCTGCTCGTGGAGACTTCTTCCGTGCTACATCTAGACTAACAACGGATTATAAGAATGCTGAGAAAACAGACAGATCTGTGATGAGGGAAATCAATGACCGTATCATGAAAGTATGTAATCATTAGAAAAGGAGGAATTCAAGTTTGTTCATTTTTAATTGGTAACTCTTGTGTTTCTAAAAAGTAGATTTTATAATTCTAGGAGCCTGGAATACTTTCCCACTTCAGAATTCAGCACAAATTTTAAAAAGATCTAAAGTTAGTATATCTAAACTGAAAATACAGAAGACATTTGACCTAATATTAGTTTTTTTAGGCTTAAAACCATTTTAAAGAAAGGATCATTAATGATTTTCATCTGTCATTTTCTCTATATTTCTGTTTAATTCAGCCCTTAGCTGCTTTATTATAGTGGAAAAACTTACAAAGCTTCCGTATGTAGGCTCCAACCAAAAAACAAACAAAAAGCAACCCAGTGCAGTTAAGAGTTTACAAAGGAATTGACAGCTTTCCTTACAATTTTAACATTAGAAGATTAGTAGCTTGGTTCTCGACATTCTTAAAATTCAGGGAAATTTAAACATTGAAGTGAGAGAATGATGGTTGTTTTACTATATCAGATCATTTGCTCACGACAAAAGTTGTAGCATTGAGTGAGGTCTATGTTTTGTTTTCGTAGGTGGAATATCACTTCCTCTCACCCTATGTATCTCCAAGAGAGTTTCCTTTCCGACACATCTTCTGGGGCGCTGGCTCTCACACTCTGTCAGCTTTACTGGAGCACTTGAAGCTGCGTAAGAAAAATAGTGATGCTTTTAATCAAACACTGTTGGAAAACCAGTTGGCTCTAGCAACTTGGACTATTCAGGGAGCTGCAAATGCCCTTTCTGGGGACATTTGGGACATTGACAACGAATTTTAAATGTGACACCCGTAACTTATACGAAAAGATCAGGGTAGTGTGGTTTCTAGACTTGTATTGGTTATGCTAAATTTTCAGTAGGGCTAAAAAGCTAATATTAAAATTCTACCCAATCTTGGTACTACTAGATGTTGGTCTTTTAGGCAGCAGCTTTTAATACAGGGTAGGTACTTGCATTTCAAGTTAAATTGAATAATTTTTAAAAATGTTCACAATAGAATATTTTCTCTGATTATCTCTAGAATTTTTAGTGCTTTGTAATGGTAACTGCCTCTTTCCTGTCATAGTTCTGAAAAAGTCAGAACCAGTTATTTGAACTATTGGTCTAAATCCTAAGGACGTGAGCTGGTTATCTTTTGAGCTGGAGGAAGGTGATAGGTGGTGGCTTAGAGTGATCCTCCATCTTCATTTGATGCTAGACAGATACCAGGCTGTAAGGCTTTACTCTCCATGCGGGGTCTCTGTCTTCTGTAAGGATTTAGCTGGTTTCCACCTCTGAAAGTGGAACAGTTCACTTTCAGAAGAGATGGGACATGTTTTCTTGCCAATGAGGTCTGAAATAGAGGGCCTTCAACTGCATAAAATGAGGTTCAACTGTTTATCACAGGAGTAAGGCCTTAATGTGGCAACCTTAAGATTATCTATGAAAAGAGGAGACCAGAAAGCCAAAGACCTAGTATATTTTCTTTTCCTCTGTCCCTTGTCCCATAAACCTTCGTTAGTTTTTTGTTTTCACTTATTCCAAGGTATTTTGAAAGAGAACCAGGTTTTAGGTGTTTAATTTCAAAAAACCTTCGTTAGTTTTTTGTTTTCACTTATTCCAAGTTATTTTGAAAGAGAACCAGGTTTTAGGTGTTTAATTTCAAACTCAGTTTGTCAGACTTTAGAGAACACACTGCCAAATTTTGGCCAAAGTGTTAATTTTTTGGAAAAGCTTCCTGTCATTTTGGCACTGAGATATTTATTGTTTATTTATCAGTGACAGAGTTCACTATAAATGGTGGTTTTTTTTTTTTTATAGAAGATAATTATCGGAAGCAGTGCCTTCCATAATTATGACAGTTATACTGTCGTTTTTTTTTTTTTTTTAAATAAAAGCAGCATCTGCTAATAAAACCCAACAGATACTGGAAGTTTTGCACTTGTGGTCAACACTTAAGGGTGTTAGAAAACAACCACAAGCCAAATAAAATTATAAAACTCAGTCTTGAGAATTAAATTTAATTAGTGGTTGCTAATCAAGTTTAGCTAACCAGATTAAAAATGGCAGTTCTTCTAAATGCAGTGAATTGTGACCAAGTTATAAGTTAATGTCACTTAAAAGCTGTGATTGTATTCATAAATGGAAAATTTTACAGTTCAATTTATCCAAGATGTAACTTCAATTTGAATTTTGCAAAATTTCCAGTACCTTTGTCACAAACCTAACTCACATTATCGGGAGCAGTGTCTTCCATAATGTATAAAGAACATGGTAGTTTTTGCCTACCACAGTGTCTATATCGGAGACAGTGATCTCCATATGTTACACTAAGGGTGTACGTAATTATCGGGAACAGTGTTTCCCATAATTTTCTTCATGCAATGACATCTTCAAAGCTTGAAGATCGTTAGTATCTAACATGTATTCCCAGCTCCCTATAATTCTCTTTTAGTTTTAGTTGCAGAAACATTTTGTGGTCATTAAGCATTTGGTGGATAACTTCAACCACTGTAAAATAAAATTACTTCCTTCAAAGTTCTTTGTTTTTAAACCTAATGTTGTATTTTGTTATATCTGTGGTTTCTCCAGGTCTTCTGTTAGGCAGGATAGTAGCAGACATTTATAATGTTTGCTGTTGTCAAATGAATTTAACTTCATCCCCTTATTTGCATGTTATCTCCTATAAACTTAGTTTACACAAGTTTGAATCCAGAATTAACCTTTTAGCTTAAAGCAGTAGAAACTTGTACAAGAGTTTGGGGGGAAGGGGGACTGCAGGGTAGGGGGAGGTAAAGTTTGCTAAAGGGTCTTTGATCACATCTCCCCAACCATTAGTATTTGGTGGTTATAAGTTAAATGTAGACATGAACAAGTAAGTTTGAGACCACATCAGTTAGGACTTTATTTTCTACTCAGCCATTTTTATTATAAACCTGATAATCAGCTGTTTGTTCTAAGGCAGTTCAATACTTACTGTCACCTAAAAAAAGTTCATAGGGTAATCTTAAAATTCTTAAACTTAGTGTCATTTATGTAAATTAAAATAGATCTAGATTAATACAGCCTCACTGATTTGTTTGACTATTCAGTCTGTTTCAGTCTTCCAGTGTTTATCTTGAACTGATACTTAGTGTAAGTGAAAAGGTCAGAGTTGGGATTCCTGGTTTGAGTATCACGCTTTGTCATTTTAATGAAAGTTCAGTGACTTCAAGGCATATTATGAATAATGGGTATACATTTTACAGCAGTAAATTTCTTCAGAAAATTTTTATGTAGTTAGGTTTAAGTTATTTACAATCAAACAAGTCATTATGTGGTAAGGGGCTTAATATTCCTGAAAGAAATGGATATCTGACTAATGCCAATCAGCTGGTCAGATTTTTTCTGGTTTTAGATGTCACATGTATTTTGAAGGTAAAAGGATAAAATGAGTGAGCTTTGTCATGATTCACTATTCTAGAACTTGCATGACCTTTATTGTGTTTCCTCTGGAATGTTCTTGAAACTTTAGTTTACTAAAGGTAGCTTATTAGACTTGCCAACTTACTGCTCAGCTGTATCTTTGTGAACAAGTGATATGCCCTTACAATTGTATACAATCTGGTATGTGCAACAATGTGGAGATTCCTCAAATGATTTAATAAAATGCTTGAACACTGAGTTGTCATTTTTAATAGATTTCACTTAGGTTCCCAGTAAAACTGAGCGGAAAGTACAGAGTTCCCATATACTCCCTGCCTGCACACCACCCCCATCCCAGTTTCTCCGAGTATTAATATCCTGAGAGTGCCCCACCCCCACCAAGTACATTTGTTACAATCAGTGAATCTATCTTGACACATCATTATCCTCCAAAGTCCATAGTTTACATTAGGATTCACTCTTGGTGGTTTACATTCTATAGGTTTGGACAAATGTATAATGATGAATGTATCATAGTACAATACAGGATAATGCTGCTGCCCTGAATATCCTGTTCTGCCTCTTCAGCTTCCCTTCCCGGTAACCCCTGTCAGCCATTGATAATTTTTACTGTCTCCCTAGTTTTGCCTATTTCAGAATGGCATGTATTAGGTTGGCCAAAAAGTTCATTCAGGTTTTTCCATTACATCTCAGGGAATCATAGAGTTCATTCAGTGTAGCTTTTTCAGATTGACTTATTTCAGTTAGTAATATGCATTTAAGTTTCCTCTATGTCTTTTCATAGCTTGATAGCTTATTTATTTTTAGTGCTGAATAATATTCCGTTGTCTGGTGTAACAGTTTATTTCTCCATTCACCTACCAAAGAACATCTTTGTTGCTTCTAAATTTTGGCAATTACGAATAAAGACATGTACAGGTGTTTATGTGGACATTAAGTTTTCAGTTCATTTGGGTAAATACCAAGGAGTGCAATTGCTGGATCATATGGTAAGAGTATCTTTTTGTAAGAAACTTCTAAAATGTCTTCCCAAGTTACTGTACCATTTTGCACTCCCACTAGCAGAGAATGAGAGTTCCTGTTATGCCACATCCTAGGCAGCATTTGGTGGTGTCAAGTGTTTTGCATTTTGGCCATTCTAGTAGGCGTGTAGTGGTGTTTCATTTTAATTTGTATTTCCCCAATGACAAGACGTTGAGCATCTTTTCATGTTTTCATTTACCAAGTGTTTATCTTTGGTGAAGTGTCTCTTCAGATCTTTTGCTCCTATTTTAAGCAGGTTGCTTGTTCTCTTATTGAGTCTTAAGATTTTGGGGGGGGGTATATTTTAGATAACAGTCCTTTATTAGATATGAGTTTTACAAATATTTTTTTCCCCAGTTTGTGGTTGTCTTTTCATTCTCTTGAAAGTACCTTTGTGGAGCAAAAGTTTTTAATTTTAATGATGTCCAGCTTATCAATTATTTCTTTCATGTATCATCAAACCCATCTAGATTTCCCCCTCTGTTATCTTCTAGGAGTTTTATAGTTTTCCATATAAAGGATTTTTGTAAAGAATATATGGTTTGTTCATTTTTTTGCATGTGGATGCATGTGGATGTCCAATTGGTCATTGGTTTTCATTTAAGGACACTCTAACAGGTTACATCATTTGCAAGTATTTTTTCCCATTCTGTAGGCTGTCTTTTTGTTTTAGATTAATTTTCAAATATATACAAACAACTCATACAACTCAAAATCAAACAAACAACCCAATCAAAAAAAAATGCACAGAAGATCTAAATAGACATTTCTCTGAATAAGACATACAGATGGCCAAAAGGCACATGAAATGATGGTCAACATTGCTAATTATTAGAGAAATGCAAATCAAAACTACAGTGGGGTATCACCTCACGCCAGTCAGAATGGTCATCACCAAAGTCGACAAATAATAAATGCTGGAGAGGGTATGAAGAAAAGGGAACCCTTCTAGACTGTTGGTGGGAATGTAAATTGGTGCAACCATTGTGGAGAATACTACAAAGGTTCTTTTAAAAACTAAAAAACAGCTACCATATGATCCAGCAATTCTATTTCTGGGCATATATCCAGAAAAAAAATGCAATTCAAAATGATATATGCACCCCAGTGTTCATAGCCACACTAATTACAATAGCCAAGACATGGAGGCAACTTACATGTCCATCAACAGATGAATGGAAGATGTGGTATATATATATACAATGGAATATTACTCACCTGTTAAAAAGAGGATGCCATTTGCAGCAACATGGATGAAACTGGAGGTTATCATTCTAAGTGAAGTCAGTTAGAAAGACAAATATATGATATCACTTATACATGGAATCAAAAAAAGGATACAAATGAACTT